AGAATTAGGATTGATTTATAATTTTAAATAAAAGTTTAATTATTTGATTTATATTTTTGAAAGTTCAGTCTGACCACAGATTGGAAGATGTAATTAGATAAAAGTGTGATTAGAAGGTGGTAAAACCTGCTGGTGGTGCACACCTGTAATCTCAGTGACTCGAGGCTGAGGCAGGAGATCAGAATTTTGAGGCCAGCCTCAGCAAGTCAGCAAGGCTCTTTCTCAAAATAAAGAAATAAAAAAAGGTTTGGGGATGTGGCTCCATGGTAAAATGCCTCTGGATTCAATCCCTAGTACCAAAAAAATTAAAGTTTTCACATTACTGATTGTATTTCACACCCAAATTGACCTCACACAAAAAAGTTTTTATTAAAAAACAGGCCTTTTGGGCTGGGGATGTGGCTCAAGTGGTAGCGTGCTCGCCTGGCATGCGTGTGGCCTGGGTTCGATCCTCAGCACCACATACAAACGAAGATGTTGTGTCCGCCAAAAACTAAAAAAATAAATAAATATTTTAAAAAAGAGAACAAAATGTAGGATCCCTCATGCCTCTCTTCGAGTTTACCCTCCTGCTTTAAAAAAAAAAAAAAAACAGGCCTTTTGAAGAGCACTTGCAGCAATTAGTGTTAAGTGGTTACATCATGAGGATGATGGAAATAGAGCTATATAAAATTACTATCCAACTCAGAACATGCTGAGAATGGTAACTCAGGTCTTGGGATGATGTGAGTGAGCTGCTTTGTGGATTTTAAAGCTGTGTGCCTGAGGATTTGCATGAGAGAGGACGTGGTTGAAGTGTGGTGCAAGTGAGGGTCTATTGGTAGTAATTTGTGAGATGTGTGTGGCAAGTTTAAATCCAACTTCCAGAACATCTGAGAATGGGGAAAATATACAAAATATTTTTCATCCTCAAGCTTGAAATGGCTGTAGGCAGTTACTTCAATTCATTCATGTGCTTCATATTACTTATCACAGTTTTAGCTCAGTTGTGTTTTTTTAAAAATACCTTTGTTTTACTTATTTGTTTTATGTGGTGCTGAGGATTGAACCCAGTGCCTCATGTGTGCAAGGCAAGCGCTCTACCACTGAGCCATAACTCCAGCCCCAGCTCAGTTGTGTTTTGTATAATCTGTTCTTTGTCTTACCGGCTAACTGTTCTACTATCTTGGCAGTCCCATGGTATGCTTTCAGTGGGCACCGAGTGAGGTGGTTCCTGACAACATTGGATCAGTGCTTCTTCCAGCCTCCTGTCTTTGTTTCTGATTGCTCTTCCTGCATGTTTTTTTTTTTTTTTTGGTGGTGGTGGGATACTAGAGATTAAACCTAGGGGTGCTTAACCACTGAGCCACACCTATAGCCCCTTTTATTTTTATTTTGAGTTGGGGTCTCATTAAGCTGTTTAGGGCCTTGCTAAATTGCTAAGGTTGGCCCCAAATTTCTGATTTTCCTGCCTCCCCGAGTTATTGGGATTGCAGGCGTGCACCACCACTCCTGGATCTTCATGCATTCACATTTTTTCTTTGATAAACTCATGTCTGGCAAGAGCCAAAGGTGACTGTAGGTTTGTTCTGTTTTCACTGCTTCCTATATTTTTCAGTACCTAGGGGGTAAGCATTCTACTTTGGGAGTTATTTTATACTCAGAGGCTAAACCTTAAAAACACAGTTAGTTGGGCTGGAGATATAGCTCAGTTGGTAGAGTGCTTGCCTGGCATGCACAATGCATCCCCAGCACCAAAAAAAAAAAAAAAAAAAAAAAAGGCAGTTAGTGCCTCAGCATAGCATTTCTGGTGTTTTATTTACTTAAGCATAACCAAATGGGTGTTTTGTTTCCTTTGTAGAAGTCTGGCAAGTAGATGGTCAAATGAAGTGGCACCAGGATAACCAAGACAAGCTTAAAAATGTGAAAAGAGGTCATGAATGGGATGCATTTGGAAAAAAATTCAATCCAAGTATGAACGTTGTTCCTTTAAGTAAATCAAATAATGAAGGTGACTTAGGTGGATTGATTTTAAGACATCATTTAGATTTGCTTATTCCAAGAGCAGATTATGGAAGAATGGAATCAGATGACTTGAATGTATTTAATAAATTGTTTCTCAATACTGAACCTGAGGAAACTGATTCTTGGTTGAAATACTATGAATGTGATAAATGTGGTAACAATAGCTATAAAAAGTCACAGATTGTCATTTTCCACAGAACTCGGTTAGGAGAGAAACTCTATGAATGCAGTGAATGTAGGAGACGCTTCAGTAAAAAATCCAGTCTCATTAAACATCAGAGCAGACACATAAGGGAGATAGCCTATGGCTGTGGTAAATGTGGCAAAACCTTTCCCCAGAAGGCACAGTTTGTTACACATCACAGAACTCATACCGGAGAAAAACCCTATGATTGTAGCCAGTGTGGGAAAGCTTTCTCCCAAAAGTCACAGCTTACGTCCCATCAGAGGACACATACAGGAGAGAAGCCATATGAGTGTGGCAAATGCGGGAAAGCTTTCTCCCGGAAGTCACATCTCATATCTCATTGGAGGACACACACAGGAGAGAAGCCCTATGGATGCAGCGAATGTGGGAGGGCTTTCAGTGAGAAGTCAAATCTTATCAATCACCAGAGGATTCATACAGGAGAGAAGCCCTTTGGATGCCTGGAGTGTGGGAGAGCCTTCAGCAGGAAGTCGCAGCTGGTTACCCATCACAGGACGCACACAGGAACAAAACCCTATGGGTGTGCTGATTGTAGGAAAGCATTCTTTGAGAAATCAGAACTCATCAGACATCAGACTGTTCACACTGGAGAGAAACCCTATGAGTGCAGTGAATGTAGGAAAGCCTTTAGAGAGAGGTCAAGCCTCATTAATCATCAGAGAACCCATACAGGAGAGAAGCCGCATGGATGCATTCAGTGTGGGAAGGCCTTCTCCCAGAAGTCACACCTCATATCACACCAGATGACACACACAGGAGAGAAACCTTTTGCCTGCAGTAAATGTGGGAAAGCCTTCAGCAGGAAATCCCAGCTTGTTAGACACCAGAGGACTCATACTGGAGAAAAACCCTATGAGTGCAGTGAATGTGGAAAAGCCTTCAGTGAAAAGTTAAGCCTCACTAATCATCAGAGAATTCATACGGGAGAAAAGCCGTATGTGTGCAGTGACTGTGGGAAAGCCTTCTGTCAGAAGTCCCATCTCATTTCACATCAGAGGACACACACAGGAGAGAAACCCTATGAGTGCACAGAATGTGGCAAAGCCTTTGGTGAGAAGTCCAGTCTTGCAACTCATCAGAGAACTCACACAGGAGAGAAGCCATATGAATGTAGGGACTGTGAAAAGGCCTTCTCCCAGAAGTCACAGCTAAATACTCATCAGAGAATCCACACAGGAGAGAAACCCTACAAGTGCAGTCTTTGTACAAGAGCATTCTTTGAGAAGTCAGAATTAATTAGACATCAGAGAACTCATACAGGAGAAAAACCTTATGAGTGCAGTGAATGCAGAAAAGCCTTCAGGGAGAAGTCAAGTCTCATTAATCACCAGAGAATCCATACAGGAGAGAAACCCTTTGAATGCAGGGAATGTGGCAAATCCTTCTCTCGGAAGTCACATCTTATCCCACATCAGAGGACACACACAGGCGAGAAGCCCTATGGATGTGGTGAATGTAGGAAAGCCTTCTCTCAGAAGTCACAGCTTGTTAATCATCAGCGAATCCACACAGGAGAGAAGCCTTACCAATGCAGTGAGTGTGGGAAAGCCTTCCCACAGAAGTCCCAGCTCATTAATCATCAGAGAACTCACACAGTAAGGATGGCCTAGGTGTGCCCTTGATGGGACGTTTTGACAGATCTCACTTTGTTCTACTTCAGAAAATGCAGTTATGGTAATTTTTCAGGTAATATTTGCATCACGTTTTGCATCAGAGTATTCCTTAGGATCAGAACTCTATAAATGAAGCTATATAGGTAGAGCACTCAGCAGGAAGCATGCGAGAATACTTGGACACCAGCCTTCATGGAGCAGAATGATACTATGAACACAGTGAGTCCCAACTATGGTCAAGTCTTTTGCAGTGGAAAGTTCCAGCATGGGAAATCCTGTGAATATCAGAAAGCCTTCCAGAGGTCAAATCTCATCAGCTATTAATATTCCCACAGGAGATGAGGGATAATTCCCAGAATGCAGCGAGGCAATACTTTTTCAGGAAACAAGAGCTTGTTGTACATAAGAATATGCCGTTAGGAATGAACTTCTATGAAATCACTATCTCTGGGACATGTACCCCCAGGATGTTGTACTTTAGAGAGTTCATGTTGTAGATAAGCCTAAGAATTACCTTGGAAATGTGTGCCCCTTGAAGTAATGCTGTCATGGAAACCTCACAATTATAGATGTGGGTACCAGCAGTCTAAATGGCTGACAGATGTTTCCTTCAAAGTAGGAAGTTTTAAAAATATGTGAATAAATGAATCATTGAAACATCTGAATAAGAGATTTCTTGTATTTATGGCTTATTGTCCTCTGTCACATAATGCTTTGTATTTGGGCATTGCAGGTAGCTGTTGCAGGAAGCGTGAAGCATATGTAGCTTATGGTCCCTCTGATGTGTCAAGACACTACATGTCACTGGCTTTTCTGTCTTAATGCTGTGAAAAGGGTAATTGATTTAACATGGCTTTTTGCCAGTATCAATAGATTAGGCAATAATGACACATTTCTTTTTTCTTATTGTTTGTTGACATCTACAGAGATTGGTTGTTAATATTGACCTTCTTCTTCAGTAATGTTAACATTTCCAGTGCCCTCAGAGTCTGAGGAACATTTTATATAAAATCTTGTATATGCAGAGGCAGGAACCAAGAGTAGCACAGTGATACAAGATACTGACTGAAGAAGGGGTGGTGAGATGCAGTCCTCCGCTGCAAACTCCTGAGGGATGAGAGTGGTGAGCTGCAGACTCCTGAGGGACACAAAGCCTCAGGCTGTTCCTCCTGCCTGTGTTCCCAGGCTGCGAGATCCAGGCACAGCTTGCCTCCGAACTGCTGTGATGAAATACAGCTGCTCTGTGTTGCTGCTGTTCTGGGTGTTGTTAAAAAAAATTAGTTGTGGAAACCAATTATTTAAGAGTGACAATTCACTCTTAAGTAAAATACAATGAATTTTGTGGTGAAATACTCTGTGAACATTCAGGGAAGCTGCTTTTGCCTTCCTGCACATTTCTGTGACTACTGGACAAGTATTAGGAAACAAAATTTCTGTAATTTCTTCATTTGACATATTTGTGTTTCACCTTCTTTCAACAGCTCCATGACTCCTGGGTGAAATTACTATTTTAAATTTCATTTCCTTTAAAATGCAGGAAACATCCCTTAGCTAAATTAGAATTTTATAGTTCATTCTCTCTGTAATGTTCAGAAATGTCTAATATCAAGCTTTTGAGCTTGATTTCAAACTTCAGAAAATTGAGATTTTTCTTACACAGAAATTGCTTTAAAAATATATATATTTATTTTGTTTATTTTTATGAGGTGCTGAGGCTCGAACCCAGTGCCTCACATGTGTGAGGCAAGTGTTCTACCACTGAGCTACAACCCCAGCCCCCGCTTGTTTTTTTAACTTTTTAAAATTTTAGTCTTCAATGGATCTTTATTTTATTTGTGTATATGTGGTCTGAGAATCAAACCCAGTTTCTCATAATGCTAGGCAAGCAAGCTACCACTAAACCACAGCTCCAGCACCCAAAATTGTCTTATTAGTATCGTTTATGTAATTTCTATTCTAATCATATTCTTTCTTTAATTAATTTTGCAACATGGTTGGGAAGTTAAGACATTAGATAAATGTGATTAAATTTCTAAACCAATATAACAGAATTTCAATGTCCAAATTGTCCCCACTCTTTTTTCATAGTAATTTTTTTGTGGTGCTAGTGATTGAACCTAGGGCCTTGGGCACACCAGACAGGTGCTCTCCCATTCAGCTATACCCTCAGCCCCTCTCCTAGTGATTTTTTTTTTTTTTTGTGTGTGTGTGCCAGGGATTGTATCCAAGGGTGCTTTACCACTGAGCCACATCCCTAGCCCTTTTTATTTTTTATTTATAGACAGGGCCTCACTAAGTTGCTGAGACTGGCCTTGAACTTGCAATCCTCTTGCCTCTGCCTCCTGAGCCACTAGGATTACAGGCATGTACCACTATGCCTGGCTCATAGTAAATTTTTTTAAACAATTTTTATTTAACTTTTAATTAATTAATTAATTAATTGTATGTGGTGCTGAGGATCGAACCCAGGGCCTTGTGAGTGCGAATCGAGCGCTCTACTGCTGAACCACAACCCTAGCCCCTCATTATTCTTCCTACAGTTTATGGTGTGCCTATTTTCTCTAATGCTTGAAAGTTATTTTGCCTGGCAAAGGAAACAAACCTTTGTAAATGAACAAACAATAACAGAGTGATGTTCGGCTTTGTGATCTTTCCACTTTTCCCTTCCATCCCTCATGGTGTCTCTTTCCTAGTCATACAAATTGGTTCATTAGGTCTAGTACTGAGTCAGCAATCTTTTCCAAATTTGCTTACTCCACTTTTAGGTTATTCCACTAACTATTAAGCAGTTAAACCTAATACTGTCTTCAATGGGTAGTGGAACTTCAGCACTAGCCTGCTGATTGATTGTCCAAGAAGAGAACAACCCTCAGCTTTTTGAGAGTCAGGCTCTAGTCACAGGGAGGTTCAGTGCTGACTCAGAGACCTAGTCCACAGAGGACCTGGTGTGCACCCAGTTGCTTTGTGAAGCCTCTTTGGAACTTTCTGATTTTGCCACGTCCCTGGGGGGGGGGGGAGCTCTGATTCTGGAATTAGATATTTTTAGTGTATGTTTTAAATGCCTTAACTACAAAAAACATCTTTCTACACTTCCCTCATTGATTTCCTATTATAAATCCCACATCACAAGGAAGTTTTGGGGTTGGGATTGTGGCTCAGTGACAGAGTGCTTGTCTAGCACATATGAGACATTGGGTTTTGATCATCAGCAACACATAAAAATAAATAAAACAAAGGTATTTTTAAAAAGGAAATTTTGCTGGGCATGATTGTACATGCCTATAATTCAGCTACTTGGGAGGATGCAGCAGGAAAATTGAAAATTTGAGGCCAGCCTCAGAAACTTTGCTAGACCCTGTCTCAGAAAGCACTAGGGATCTAGGGATATAGCTTATTGATAAAGTACTCCTGGGTTCTGTCCCTAGGACAAAATAATAATGATGTTAAACTGATTTTACTTGTGATTTCATGGAGCATATTAAGCAATACTGAGGGAGAATACTTAATATGGGATAGCATTCCTTGTTATCCTATTTGGCCACCAGGTTCTTCCACAGATCTCGAATTGTATGCAGTTCTACAAAAGATGATTTATACTGTACTCTTTTTGCTAAGGAATGGGGCTCTTTGGAGATCCAGTTTGTGTATTTTGAAACCTATCCTAGGTATGCCCTCTGTTTGGCATTTTTTTTTTTTTTTTTTTGGTGGACTCTGCCACAGTTATCTGTGGATCCCCCCATAGGTTCCTGATGTTGATTTGAAGAATGTTACCTGTGGAAACCTGAGATGAATACCATGTATAATTTATCTAGCAAAGCCTTTATTATAAACAACAGAGTATAGACCTCTAGGCCTTTGGGATCTACCCTTGAGACTTCCTCAGTCATTTGGTTGGTTGTCTGGCGGTACGCATCCAGGTTGTCAATCTCAGTGGGCCTGCCTGTCTACTTATTTGCTTAGGGTACCAGCAAGCTTTCAGATGCTTAGCACCTGAGAATACTGTTCTGAGTGCTCATTAATTATCCAGGGCCCTTGCAGCTTCAGGCACACTCTCTGCACCTTGCTCCCATTCTTTTTAGTTCATTTTCTTCACTTCTTACATGTAGTGGTCATTTTAATGCAAATTTGGTAACACATTTCCATGTTGAAATATTGTGACCCACTGTGGACTCTTCATTGAAATATACCAGGACTTTTATACAAACCCATGCCAGTATTATTTTAAATTATTTTTGAACATAATTTTTTTCTCCTATGCAATATTTTCTGGTTTCCTTGAACTATTGGCAGTTCCTAGAGGTTTCTGTACTCTCTGATCTTTGTTTTTTTGGGGGTGGATTTTTTTTTCAAATCTATTGCAACTAAATGCTGTGGTTCTTTGTTAATGCTTATCCAATATTTGATGCATGTGGTTATGAACCTGTCCGTGTATTTCTCACTGTGACAATGTAATCATTGTATGTTTTATCTTTTCTATTAGAAGGCTTCTGGAAAGCATGACTCTTGTCTCTAGTTTCTGGAGTTATAATATTTAATGTTGGCTGTTTTCTGTTCCATGGAGAAATGTGGTCTGCACTAGAGAAGATGAAGCTATCGTGGAAGCAAGGTCCATAAAAGGCCTGGTACCTGCTTCTCCTTGTCTTGATGTCCAGATTTACTCTGCCCTTTCCATGCTTCAATTGTTGGGATAATCCAGATATCCTAATAAAGCCTCTTGTTTGCTTTGCTGGTTCATGTTGTGTTTGTTACTTACAATCCAAATATCCTTACTAACAGGAAGCCAGGCTATCATAAAGTGGGTTCTTAGGAGGTAGGCACTTAGAAGTTTGGGGTACAAGGTGTTTCCTGAGGTTAGCAGCTGCCGAATTGTGGGAGAATAAGAAAGGAGTAAATAGAGGAAAATGTCAAACTGGACTTTCGGTTGTCCCAAGCCAATGGCGCCCAGAGCAGATATTGTTTGCCGGAATGTCTTGGTGGGCCATGATGGCCAGGCCTGGCTCAGCTGTGAGAGGCAGGCTAGGGGCCCTCAGGAGATCTGGACAAGTTGATAGCCAGGTTGTCTGCTGACTGCTCCCTCTGCCAATGGACAGCATGTTCTTCCTTGAGGAGGATCTGGACGATGCATCTGGGACTGCAGTTTGCCCTTCCCCTGCTTAGACACTGTCTTTTAAGTTACCTCTGGAAGTCGCTGCTCTAGGGTTTCAGTGGGGCTCTGGGACACCAAGGAAGGTGAGTAGGACAAGCCACAGCTCCTCCGGCTGTGTTTGCTGCCTGGTAGCCCCTTTATTACGGCCTCTGGCATGTCCCAGGACCTCATCTCCACAGGGTCTGAGCCCTCATCAGCATGCCCTTCCCTGATCCAAGCTGCTGTCTCTGGCCATTACTGTAGTAGTTTGGCCTGGAAGCCCCAAGAGGCGCCTAGAGGGTCCTGAGTTCCCCTCCTGTGGTCTGCTCTGTTGTGTGATGGCAGCTGAACCTCTTGGTGGTCAGTGCCAAGCAGCCCTGCAGAACCCCACTCTCCTGGCCTGCTGGTCCCGGCCATAGGGAGCACAGACTTCCCACAGGGCATCTGTGGTTGATGGCTTAGAACATATGCTCTGACCTGTGTTGAAAAGGAGTCAGGAACTTTAGGCCCGCAGAGCCCAGAGGTGTCACATGAGGCACAAGGTTCCCCATGGGGTCTTTGGTCACAGAGGCAGGTGTTCTGCTCTCAGCCAGGTGTTTGGGCCCTGCACATTCTCTTTGGGCATGCAGAGCCTTGCTAAGGTCTTTGGCCTGCCTGGTTGCTGCAGGCACACCTCCAGCAGAGCTCTTCAGAGTACAGCACCACTGTGAGGGTGCTGGGTCCAGAGGATCCTGGCGTCCTGAGCATACTCTTGCATTTCCTTTGCTTCAAAGTGGATCCCCTCATCTGATGCACTGTTATTTGGGTCCCCAAATGGCATAGCACACTAAGTCTTTGTAATTGTCCTGGCTGAGGCCCAATGTTCAGCGAAGAAAAACCTTCCCTTGAATCTGCCCTGTAAGAACAAACCACTGGGTTTTCTCAACCCAAATGGCCAACCTGAGACCAGTTTTTACTGGTATCGTTCAGGAACCGTACCTCCAGAGGCACAGCCGTGGCCTCTGGTGAAGGTTTACTGCCGACAGTGCCTGAAACAGCCATGGAAACGGGACTTGGGTGTTGGCCCAGCACAAAAGCCCTATCTTTGCCCCCCAGCTGCCTGTTCATGTGCCAGCTGGGCCAGCGCTATTGTGGCAGCCCCTAGCCAGATCTGGTTGCTCTCATGGCTGTCTGGAGCCTCTTCCATGACGTTCTCTGATCAGTATCTATGTGCAACATGAAGATCTCCATGCATGCCCACCCACACAGTCTGTTTTTACTGCAGCCCTGGTCCGACTTTCTCCTTCCAGGCCCTGTCCAGCCAGCTGGACCGTGCACCAGGTCCCTGTGTCTGCAGGCCTTGGACCACTTTCCACAGGTGGATAGCTTCGTGCATCTGTAGCAGAGTGGCTTCCCTTTGTGACTGTCAAGTTGCCCTTAAGTGAGTTGCCTTGCTTCCATGCAGAACTGAGGCTCTCCTGTCTGACGGGTTGCACAGGGCAATAGGTGGCCATCGGCAGTGGAAATAAGTGCAGCTATAGAAGTAGGGGTTACAGCCCTCAGGGGGGCATCCCTTTGGGTAATGGCTGCACCTGTCCACATTGATGCCGCAGTCTTGGTGTGACTCAGCCCTTTGTGGACAGTGTAACCACATCACTTGATAGATTGCAATGGGGTGTTCCATCTCTTAGGTCCTGATGACACACCAGGAGCTGTTTCTCAGGAGCACATGTGCAATGATTTTAATGTGGCCACCCCCACCCAAACTCATGCTGTATCTTGGTCCCCAGTGCAGTGGTGTTGGGGCTTCAAATTTGTTTTTTATTTTTTAATACTGGGGATTGAACTGAGGGGCACGTTATTGCTTAGCTGCATAGCCAACTCTATTTCTTATTTTTGAGACAGGATCTCCCTAAGTTGCTGAGGTTGGCCTTGCATTTGCTGTCTTCCTATCTCAGCCTCCCTAATCACTGGGATCACAGACCTGTGCCACTGTGCCTGGCTAAGGAAGACTCATGCTCCTCGAGGGAGCAGGTTCTTGCTCTCTTGGGACTGGGTGACTGTACTGTGAGACTGTGGTGTTATGAAGTGAATCTGGCACCTTTTCCCCTTTCTCTCTGTGTCCCTCTGTCTCTCTCTGATGCGTCTTTCCAGTACTTGCATGAGGCCCTTGACAGATGCATCTACCTCATCTTGAGCTTCCCAGCCTCCTGAACTGGGAATTATATGAACCTTTTTAAAAATAATTACCATGGTCTCAGGTATTGTTATAGCAGCAGAAAACAGACTAAAACGATAAAATTGTCCACCACCAGATGATTTTCCTACAGAGCAGCTGAGATGGGCCTGTGGTTCTCCCCTGGGGTCTATCACAAACTCTGTGTGGCATCTTTCCCTGTTACTGACACTTTGAGCTCCATAGGGTGTGCTAGATTGCATGCCCAAGCATCAGGGCTGCTTTTATTGGTTGACCTTCTGGAGAGCTCTTTGCTCTACCCCCCATGCTAGAAGCTACTTAATGTAATGTACTCAAGTTCCATTCATTTTTTCTGCAAATGACATAATTTCATTCTTCTTTATGGCTGGAAAAAAATTCCATTGTGTGTATGTACCATATTTTCTTTATCCATTCTTCTGTTGATGGACATCTAGATTGGTTCCATAGTTTGGCTACTGTGAATCATGTTACAATAAACATGGGTATGCACATATCACTGTAGTACAATGACTTTAACTGAAAATAATTTCTAGCCAGGCGCAGTGGCCCATGCCTATAATCCCAGTGGCTTGGAAGGCTGAAACGGAGGATTGTGAGTTCAAAGTCATGGTCAGCAAAAGTGAGGCTCTAAGCAACTCGGTGATACCCTGTCTCTAAATAAAATACCAAACAGGGCTGGGGATGTGGCTCAGGAGTGGCTGAGTGCCCCTGAGTTCAATCCCGAATACCAAACAAAACAAAACAAAACAACAACAGTAACAACAAAAAACCCCAAAAGTAATTTCTAAATACTGGGTAGAGGACATTCAGGTGAAAAGATTGCTGAACGAAGGATTCCTTTAAGATCAGTTCACTGTTCTCTGGGCCTAGTGGGCATCTGGACAAGATGTCATTACATATTGGAAGGTCCTCCTGCGTCCTCCTCTATCAGACACGGCAGCATCCCAGGGGTTCAGTGAGTCCAGAGCGCTAGTATCTGCACCTCTTAAGGTGCAGGCAGGACAGGTAAGGACAGGCGGGGGCAGGGGTGCCCCTCCCGCGGCTGCTGCCTCACGTATTTCCCAAGTCTTTAGGGAGCATCTTTCAGCAGCTCTGTAGGGGCAGGCCAGACTGTTACTGCTGTAACAGTCACAAGGCTCTGGTTTCCTGTCGGCCGGCAGGCTGGGGGCTGCGGTAGGACCTCAAGGAGGTGGTCTTCTGGGCTCTGGTTTCCTGTTGGAGTCCAGGGCAGGCTGGAAGTTGTGTAGGGACACAGGGAGTGTGGTCCCCTGGGGTCGGTTTTCAGTCTTAGGAGTTACTGTCCTGGTTTGTAGAAGGTCATCTGGGAGACTTATTTTCTGGTCCTTGGTTTTGTGGCTGGTACTGGGGCCTCCTGGGAGTTGTAGTAGAGCCGGGTCCTCTGGGCTCCAGTTTCCTGGTAGGGTCCCCGCGTATGCTGGGAGTTGTAGTAGAGCCGGGTCCTCTGGGCTCCACTTTCCTGGTAGGGTCCCGGGGCATGCTGGGAATTGTAGTAGAGCCTATAGGAGGCAAGTTCTCTGGGCTCCGGTTTCCTGGTAGGGTCCCGGGGCATGCTGGGAGTTGTAGTAGAGCGTCTAGGAGGTCCTACTAAGCCGAGAGTTGATTGTGGTTGTGTTGGTGCTGCAAAGGCCGGTGCTTGGTCGTTGCAGAGTTGTCCTCCTGTCCGGAGACCTGTCCCACAGCGGGGTCCCTCGGCGGAAGCTGCGCTGCGCCGCAGGGGAGGAGGCGGCGTCCTGGCTAAGCTGCTGCGCAGAAGGAGCACCCGCCGGCCCCCGAGGCTGGCGCCCCCCCCCCCCCCCCGCCCCCCCCCCCCCCCCCCCCCCCCCCACGTCCGCTTCGCGCTGCACCGCTCTTTCCCGGAGCCTCCTGAACCATGTCTGTGGTAAGCTGACTCCCATTTCCTCTCGGGTGCGCAGCTGGCTCAGGCTCGGGGCGCCAGCGCGCGGGAAGGCCGAGTAGTACAGGCGGCTCTGCCCTGGCCTTGGACCGCCGCTCTGCCCTGGCCAAGCTCTTGGACCGCGGCTCTGTCCTGGCCTTGGACTGCGGGGTCTGCCCTGGCCAAGCTCTTGGACTGCAGGCCCCGCCCTGGCTTTGACCGCGGGCTCTGCCCTGGCCTTGGACTGCAGGCCCTGCCCTGATCAAGCTCTTGGACTGCGGCTCTGCCCTGGCCTTGGACTGCGGGGTCTGCCCTGGCCGGGCTCTTGGACCGCGACTCTGCCCTGGCGTTGGACTGCGGGCTCTGCCCTGGCCAAGCTCTTGGACTGCAGGCTCTACCCTAGCCGGGCTCTTGGACTGCAGGCTGGGTGGCTGGAGAGGGCAGGTATCTTTCCAGATGCTGCTGTTCCTGGCTGATGGAAGGAACGCTCACCTTCTGGGCGCCCCTCCCACGGCTGCTGGCTCACGTATTCCCCAAGTCTTTAGGGAGCATCTTTCAGCAGCTCTGTAGGTGAACTCATTTTTCAGATTTGACATTAAGTGCTTTTATCAAGGAACACTGATTGCTTTTATCTCATTTGGGCTAAATGCTTGTCTGATTATTGTGTTTCACAGGAGTGGGCATAACAGGGTCAGCCATTCCAAATTAACGCACCAGATTTTGCTTCCACATGCCTGTCCTACTTTTTGTTACAGGTGTCTCCAAATCCAGAGGCTATCTGGAGGATCTTACTGTTTCCTTTATTAGTTAACCTTTTATCACTTTTTAAAAAACTATGAAACTAAAAAATAACTGCCATCAATCTGATGCTGCCACTAGTTCTAGAATTTTCTTTTTTTTTGGCTATACGCTAGGGATTGAACCTAGAACCCTGCTGCACATTAGACAAGGGCTCTACCTCTGACCTCCATTCTAGCTCAAAATTTGGGACTTTTAAAATTCCCATTCATGGGCTGGGGATGTGGCTCAAGTGGTAGCGCGCTCGTCTGGCATGCGTGCGGCCCGGGTTGGATCCTCAGCACCACATACAAACAAAGATGTTGTGTCCGCCGAAAACTAAAAAATAAATATTAAAAAATTAAAAAAAAAAATTCCCATTCATATCTTAAGAGTTAATTAGGCGAATCACTTAAGTAGTTCAAAACCAGCCTCTGAAGCAGAGGCTTGTATATTATTCCCCAACCCTGAGGGAAAGAATTTAGGCTCCTTCCTGGAGCTGTATGTACATTGCTTATCTTACTTGTTCTGCGATGTTGTTGACTGCTGTTATGCTTCACAACTATTTCTTTGGGACAACATTAACAAAAGTGAGTGCACATGTCCCATTTCACAGGTGTTGCTGCTATGTGCTATAGCTAGTTATTACCATGAAACAGGCCAAATCATCTTAATATAGGCTGTTGCTAAGGAAAACAGACATTGTTTATTTGATAACATTCATGAAATGTATTTTTTTGGTGGGGATACCAGGGTGCTTAACACTGCACTACATCTCTAGCCCCCTTTAAAAAAAATTTCTTTTTGAGACAGGGTCTGGCTAAGTTGCTTAGGCACTCATTTGTTGCTAATGCTGGTTTTGAACTTGCAATACTTCTGCCTCAGTCTCCTGAGTCGCTGGGATTACAGGTGTGTTCTGTGCCCAGTATGAAATATAATATCTTAAGAATTTTTTCAACTACAGTGTGAAATTCTTATTGTTCATGTATATAGTCCTAAATCTTGAACAAAATTAAATCATCTTAGAACAAATCACTTACGGTTTTTCTTCTTTTGAACTAAACAATAATCTAAGCAGAGTCAGGCATTATGGTGTACACCTGTAATCCCAGCTACTCAAGAAGCTGAAGCCAGAGAATCATAAGTTTTAGGTCAGTGTGGGCAGCTTAGTGAGACCCTGTCTCAAAATAAAAGGGTCTGAGGGGTGTAGCTCAGTGGTACAGTGAGTGCCCAGCATGCTTGAGGCCCTGGGTTGGATCCCTAGTGTGGGAGGGTGGGAGAAGCTAGATTGTTAGTTGAAAAATACTTAGAATTCTGGAACCTCTCATTGTCACTACTCTGCACATTTTCCGTTCTCCACAGTGAGACTCATCAGGGACTAGCAAGGCATAGGTCTTGGTTGTGAAGACATCTGTGTCATTTCAGGAATCGGTGACATTCAGAGATGTGGCTGTAGACTTCTCCCAGGAGGAGTGGAACTGGCTTCAGCCTACTCAGAGAGATTTGTATAGATGTGTAATGTTGGAGAACTACAGCCATCTGGCTTCACTGGGTGAGTATTCCTCCCAATTGCCATCAGGCCACAATTTTATCTTTATTATAGATGTTGGAAATGGATTTTTACAAATTATTTCATCAGATGGAAGTATAACATCATCAAATCTTCAAATTTTTCATACTTCAATCTGCTATTTATTTTAATGGTCCCTTTTTTCTTAGAGTTTAAGGACTGACTTTGAATTTATTTTGTTTTCTGTAAGCAGGTCTTTCCATTTCTAAGCCAGATGTGGTTTCCTTATTGGAGCAAGGGAAAGAGCCCTGGCTGGGAAAAGGAGACGTGAGCAGAGATCTCCCTTCAGGTGGGTGAGGTAGAAACTGCCAGGGAAAGTTTTTAAAGTAACAACACCATTAGTCAATGAGAAGGCAATACTTTTAGAATGCAAGTTGGGAATTTTCCCACAAACATACCAACGATGTGGAGATGATGAAGTCTTGCTCACAGCGTACATGAGAGAACTCAGCCACATCCCCAGCCCCTTTTTTTTTTTTTTTTTTCCCTTTCATATTTTATTTAGAGACAGGGTCTTGTGGAGTTGCTGAGGCGGCTTCCACTCGTGACCCTCCTGCCTCTGCCTCCTGGGCTGTTGGGATGCAGTGTGGCCGCCAGGCCTGGTCTCACTGTGCCTCCTGCTATCTCGCCTTTCTTCCTTCAAATCAGCAAATGTGTCTGTTGCTTAAATAAGAAGTCATGTATAGTTTATAGTGTTGTTCTTTTTAGTCATCTTGGAAAGATTAAATCGTTGTTTGGCTGGTTGATGATCGATTCATTTATTCATGTATTAATATTTACTGAAATTTTAATCTTGTCAAGACTTTCTCTCAGGCAATACAGAGACTAAAGGATATACAAAATTGTAGAAACTATCAAAGAATTTGTGGCCTTTGTGTGTTTTTAAGTAACACGAGTTAGAGATTAGCAGTTCCACAATGAGAGAAGGAATTTCAAGTTGGTATTTTAGGCCGGAATATTCTGGGTAGGGATTGAAAAGAAAACAAAAAACAGGAAAATCCTGGTTTTTATTTATTTAATTTTTTTTTTAGTTGTTGATGGACCTTTATTTTATTTATTTGTATGTGCTGCTGAGAATCGAACCCAGTGCCTCATACATGCTAGGTAAGCGTGCTACCACTGAGCCACAACCCTAGCCCCAGGAAAATCCTGGTTTTAGAAAAAAGATGACAGATAAGTTTGAGATATACTTGATGGGATTAGAAGATGATACAAATGAAGGTGTTCAGCCATGGTTGTTGGAATGTATCTTAGAAAAAAGTTCAGGCTAGAGATGCAGATTTAGGGATCTTACACAAAGAGGTAAAAATTGAAGCCATAAATAAACTGAGAATGGCTCTGAAAGCCTTCCTCACCTTTGGTTGGCAGTCAATTGCTGATCAGACGCATCTTTATTTGTATTTTTTTGGTACTGAGGATTGAACCTATGGGTGCAAAACCACAGAGCCCCAGCCCCATCTTTTTATTTTTAATTTTTTTAATATTAAGAAATTTTTTTAGTTGTACATGGACACAATACCTTTATTTTTATTTACATGGTGCTGAAGACTGAACCCATGCAAGGCAAGCCCTTTACTACTGAGCCACAACCCCAGCCCCCCAACTCTTTTTATGTTTTAATTTGAGACAGGGTCTCCCTAAGTTGCTTAGGGCCTCACTAGTTCCTGAGGCTGGCTTTGAACTCATGATCCTTCTTCCTCAGCCTCCTAAGCTACTGGGATTATAGACATGTGCTATTGCACCTGGCTGATGAACCTCTTTAAAAATAAATACGGCCATGCCCACTCTTGAAAATTTATTATGGAAAAAATATGAATGTATATTTGTATGTCTTTAGAAAAAGTTCTGTAACCTCTGTAGCTGGTGCTGAATCAGAGGTCTACTAGAGGCACAGTGACCTTTAGAGAATGGTCCTATTGAGGAAAAAGGAAGACATCTGTGTTTAGGAAACAGCAGCATATAAGGCCTGAAGAGGGAACAGGAGATGTGCTGTAAGAACATCTCTTGCTGTCAGGAGAGTAGTTGTCATTAATGTCCTGGTACAGAGACTTCTAAGAGGATGCAGAGAAGGTCTTAGGAAGAAGGTGCTGATGTGGACTAAAGTCAAGTGGGAAAACACGTACAGGGGACTTTATTCAAATGCAAGTTAAACAGTAAAGATGTCTTTTTCTAAACTTTTATTCATTTAGTTAGTTGTTGTGATAGGGTCTTGCCATTACCCAAGCTGGTCTCAAATTCCTGGGCTCTAGCAGTCCTCCTGCCTCAGCCTCCTCTGTAGCTGGGGTGATAGGCATTTGCCATCTGGCTTCTTTTGGGCAATAAAAACAAACAAACAAAATCCAAAACTAATGCGATCATATATTGGGGAAGTAAGAAAAGGGACAGCGTGGAGGAATTGCTCGGATTTCACTACTGTACTGTAGCTCTTGGAAATTTTGTCTTTATTCCCAGTACTAGCGATTGAACAGGGATTTAAGCATGCTAGGCAGGTCCTCTACCACTGAACTATGCCGCCCACCCCAGCCTTTATTTTATTTTTTGTTTTGATACAGGATCTCATTAAGTTGGCCAGACTGGCCTTGAACTTGTGGTTCTCCTGCCTCAGCCTCCTGAGTAATTTGGATACAGGTGTGCACCATCATGTCTGGCTTTCCTGTTATATTTTTTTGGGGTACTTAGTACTAGGGATTGCACTTAGGGGTGTTTAATCTCTGAGCCACATCTCCAGCCCTTTTTTTTTTTTTTTATTTTGAGATAGTGTCTCTCTAAGTTGCTTAGGGCCTCACTGGTTGCTGGGGCTGGCTTTAAACTTGGGATTTTCCTGCCCCAGCCTCCTGAACCACTGGGATTATAGCCGTGAACCACCATGCCTGGCTCTGTATCTTTTTTTGAAAACTCCTTATTGTGAAATATCACACAGAGACAGTAATGATGTGTAATCATAAACATGCATCATTTTTTTTTTTATTTTGGTACCAGGATTGAACCCAGGGTGCTTAACCCTAACCATATCCCCAGCCCTTTTTATATTTTATTTAGAGACAGGATCTTGATAAATTGCTTGAGGACTTTGCTAAGTTGCTGAGGCTGGCTTTGAACTCACGATCCTCCTGCCTCAGCCTCCTGAGATGCTGGGATTACAGGCGTGTGCCACCATGCTTGGCTAAAGTAAACACTTTACATTTAAAAGTTTTTATCATAACCTAGTCTAGCTCTAATAAGATCAATAGAGACATCTAGTTAGTTAGTCGAGGGAGACAGAAAGATTGGTAAAAAATAAGGACATAGAATCCACAGGACATAATAATTGAATAGGTGAACATGACTAGACATGAAGAAGGTTCAGGAATTATGGTTGGCATCATCATTTGCTTGGTAGTATTATCTCCTAAGAAGGGAATGATGAGCAAGTTTGTGTAGGGGCTCAAGAGTGTATCAGTTTGTGTTTTGGGTCTCTGTGGGACACCTGAGTATCATTTATGGAGCTGAAGAAAGATATCTCAGTGCTCCTCAAATTTTAGTCTGCACAAAAGTCACCTGGAGAAGTACCAAATCCTTCCTGGGCATCTCCCAGAAATTCTGTGAGTAGGTTGGGGGTAGAGTGCCAGGTTTGCATTTTGAACAAATTACCAGGTGATGCTGATATTGAGCTAAACTAGATATTTAGGAGTTACCTGGAGAGATTTTTAAATTTTTAAATTTCTTTGTAAAATTCCTGTGTAATTATTACTGAGTTTTTTTCTTAACTAACTTTCCCCAGCCCTTGCTAACAAGCTATATTGCTTCTCTACAGCCAAAGCTAGTGAATTTGTTGTGTATTTATATCACTTAAACTTTGTTGTAGAAATAAAAATACCCCAAACCTTTCTATACTGATTTTTTTTTCTTGTAAATACTGAAAGGATTTTTTGAAAATAACAAACTTTACTTTAGGATGACTTTATGTTCACAAAATTGAGAGGAAAATACAGATAGTTTCCACTCAGCCGTGGTCTCCACACATATACAACTTCCCCGTTATTGACGTCCCTTGCTACAGTAGTGCATTTCATGTAAAGGGACTTGAGCACCATGGATTTTATTGTCCAGAGTGTGTCCTGGAACCGGTCCCTGTGGATACAGAGGGATGACTGTGTTCTCTGTTGCGTCTTGCTGTATCGGCTGGGATGTCCAGTGTCATGTGTAAAGGTGGTGGTGGGGGCACATCCTTCTTCTCCTGGTCTCACCAGGAAAGCTTCCTAGTTCTCACCATTCTGTGATGTCAGCTTGAGCTTTGTGGGTTTTAGATCAAGTTGACGGATCTCCCCTTCATTCCTGTTTTGCCAGGAGTTGTCATGAGTGGGTTTTGGAGTCGGCAGGTGCTTTTTCGTATCTGTGGATTTGTGATTTCTGCCTCGTGTGTTGTGTTAAGTAATTGATTCTCAAATGCTGAACCAGCCCTGCATATCTGCAATCAGTCCCACTTGGTGCTGGGTGTGGTTCTTTTCATACGCTGTTGGGTCTGACTTGCTAATACAGGTAACCCTTTAGACCTGTGGAGGGTTGGATCCAGGACTGTCTGCCTGCAGATGTTCAGATGGCATAGAGTTTTCATATGAGCTGTCACATCCTCCTGTGCACTTTAAATCACCTCTAAGTTATTCATAGTGCCTGACGCAGCATGAATTCTACAGGAATTTATTGCACTGTTGTTGGGCAATAATGACAAGTCTATATACATGTTCAGTAATAAAACAATTAAGGTGGACCCTGCTTGAATTATTTTAAACATTTATTTTTTAGTTGTAGGTGGACACAATATCTTTATTTTATTTTTATGTGGTGCTGAGGATCGAACCCAGTGGCTTACGCATGCTAGGCGAGTGCTCTACCTCTGAACCACAACCCCAGCCCTTTCTTGAATATTTTTGATGTGTGGTTGAATCTGTAGATACAGAGAGCCAACTACTCAGGGAAGATTTCTACATGATGTTCATGGGAGATTGCTGAGAGCCATTGCCAAGTAGGAATGACGCATCGCAATTTCTTTGTCAGTCTACTCCATGTTGCTTAGAGGAAGGATTCTCCTTTGGACCCAGGTCATTTGCAGTGACATTGCATGTATGTTTGAGTAAGGTGACCCTGCTCAAGGACCAGGGTGGATCCGGGTTTAGGGAGGATCCTGCTGGATTAGGGTGGGTCCAGGTTTAGGGTGTATCCTGCTGGGAATAGGGAGTATCCCGCTCCTTGGGTTTAGGGTGGTTCCAGGTTTAAGGTGGACCTGCTGGGAATAGGGCGTATCCTGCTGCC